CAAGCCCACGGTTACCAGAATGATGAATCGCTTTAATTTCTCTTCGCTGATTGGAGATGAAGATTTACATTCACGCAGTCACTTGGCTCCCCAGATGTGCAAGCTATTGAGGTTGAAAGTTGTACGGGAAAGATTGGCATTTGAACTAGTCGATAGTGCAGAATAGTTTCTGCTTGAACTACAAAGCTGAGAACAAACTCAATCAATGAGCTTACCTCATGTTTTAAAGAAATCAAAGAAATCATGCTAATAGAAAACAGAATATATTGACTTACGATATTGTGTATACAACATACCGTAATTGTGGCATGTCTGTTGATAGTGCGTGTAACCACTTTGACATACGCGAGTAAAAGTGCTACTTTAGCGACAACCAAATTTCCTAGGTGTTTTCCACAACATTCTTTCCTCAGTCTCTGTGACATCGCCATTGCCATTGTCAAAGTTTTGTCATATGAGTAGAAATGAAGTTGTCGATAAAAACCAACCCGTTTTCATGTAGTAATAGTTGTCCATGCTAATGCACATGATTCATGCTCTTGTTTAGAACTGAATACTTTCACGCTAGAATAATCGCTATTAAGATATAAAGAGCTAATTCCCTTTCTTTATGATTAAACCACACGAGGTAGTTCTGTTAGCGAGATCCTTAGCGCAGCGTAAAGTGTTTATTCCCATTTATTTAAAGAATCACTCAACCAATTTAACAAACTTGGTAAACACTACCATAACAAAAGTTAGTCCTACAAATGTGAGCAATATGGAAATCTTCACCTCACATTTTACAACTATTCGAATGTTCATTATCGAAGTAGCCTAATCATATCAAACAAGTTATTTTATGTCTACAAGATGCCCTTGATGAGCTAAAACGAACTTCTTAGCGTATTTGTGGTATTCAAAGGTCAAAAATTTCGGCGAGTTCTCTTTTTCTTGAGCCTCGTGAAGGTAGTGTCGTTATGTAGCATTGTTTATGTGGCATTGAACAGTTCTTCATTGTTCACTGTGTGCCTTATTTTGCAATGACCTTAGTTTCTAGCAGAATTCTTCTTTATTCAACCGCTTTCAGCGGTGTTATGATGTTATAATATACCCATAGATGCAGAAAGATGTGCAAAGATTTTGCATCAGAGGGACTCAAACTTACATTTCATCCTATCTTAAGGTGCGTGTTCGAACCGTTGCACTACCGGCGCCTGTTTTGACATCACTCTTTCTACGCTACAACCAAGCGCCGAGGATACAAACCTAAGGTCTCAGCGAATGCAAAAGTTTTGCACATCACTCCACACTAATGGTTTATTAGTTTCAATTGGAGATGACACATGTCGCATTATTTTCGCGAATTCCTTGAAACATTAATGCCACACTTCCAAATGATTGATTCGAATGTTTTCTTAGGAACCCGCTCGTCTCAATATAACTCATAATTATTATTTGAGCCAACATGTCATGTGTTCCGTCAGTGTGCTGTTGTACAACCCGATACACGTTTTTCGGCCTTGACAGCCTCGACAACATTAGCGGACAACGTGGCATTTTGGCTCAAATAATAATTATGAGATGTATTGAGATTTGAGCGTGTTCTTAAGAAAACATTCGAAACAAACAGTTGGAAGTGCGTTGTTATCTAGTTGATGTGGCCTTCGTATTGAAAAAGGAAAGTCTCAAGACATGTTGAAGTTCCTTTCACTCAAAAAAGCGTTTAGGGTTCTCTAGAGGCAAAAATAAATACACTATCAAGTTGAAACAAGGGACACTGAGAACGAAACTCAGTCTCCTTTCATTACTAGAGCATGCTATAAAAGTTTTTAATAAAACGATACCAAATGACTACAATCATTCAAATGGAATAAAAGAAAAGTTTTCAGTAACAGTTCCTTTTCTAAGGATATGTTTTTCTCGAGGTAACATGAGATTTTTTGAAGTTGGCTGCTCTTTTTACTGAAAAAGTCATTACAGAAAGTTCCTTCGTCAAATATCGTCTTTTCATAGCTTCAAGTGTTGTAATATACAACATTTCCGATAGCTCCGCCAACAGCTGCGCAGAATAGTTAGTGATGTTTCTATCGCTGATTTGTGCAAGAATGCATTTTCCAAAAATTTTCCAGAACTTTTCACTCAGCTCTAGTAGACACAGGTAGAGTCCTCTATTCGAGGTCGGACTTGGGTTTACAATGTAACTCATCCCTCAATGGTCGCTAAACTGAAGATTAGACTTGTGCGCAATATCAAAAACATCGACTTGTAGGCTGCAGCAATCGGAAACAATAATTCCGTCGAGCCCACATGAACGTTCACAAAACAAATAATAGAAACTACAGGTCTGAGAAAAAAAAAATGAAAAGTGCATTATGATAATAAAGCAGCATGGTATTATCATGTATAATTACTGATATATTATAATCTTATCGCAAACAAATATTTATCAGAGAGCACTCACTTCATCAATAAAAAAATTGCATAAAAGATTTTCGCCGTGTGAGTTTGCTTCACTTGAGCGGTACATCACCTCAGAAGACTAGGACTGACACAACCAACGAGCGCACACATCATCTGGACGACTGGCTGTTGTCAGCCGTTTTGAACCAGACAGTAGCGAATACGTCGAAAATTTAGGTAGTAAGTTTTGCCTATTCTATTCGTCTACTTAGTTCCTATTCGATTGCACTATTTCTCATTTTGCTAAATTTTAACTCCGTTGACTTTCTCCAATCGTCAAAAAAGGCAATTAAGGCTGATAATTAGCATACGTTTCAGTCATGGCCGCGCAAGCAGTTCGCGCCGAAAAGCACAGAAAAAACAAGAAATCTTTGAGAGAATTTTGCTTTCCGTTTTAAGTTAGTAAAAATAGAACTTAAGTGAAGGTCTTGGATATTATCTTTACAAAATCTTCTTGAACCTGTCAAATGTTTGATGAAGGAACTGATCAGCAAACATAGCACTTATAATGCATGTAGAGAAAAGAGGTCTGACATATACTAACGTAAAGCAGAATGAGTACAAAGCTAATTTAGCAGAGTATAGGAATGAAGCAAAGAGTATAATTTTAGGATGATAAACAATTTGGTTCAATAGCAGTGGCGTCAGTGCATGCACTAAAACGTTGAACAATGTTGTGCTTAAGGATATTAAATCGGTTTCAGTGTCATATGGCAAGACAAAAAGAACGTTGTCAAACGCTTCCTCATTTTAACAATATGTATTCAAATGATGGACGAATGAATTGATGGCGAATGATTCACAAGTGCGAATGTTACGTATATCTAAAACGCACAAGCAATGCCGAGAGTGCACAAATGAATAATTAAGCAGCTGAGATGGGAAATAGCAATAACCGTGAGCAAAAATTCAACGGAGAGAAAATGATTCATCTACCATGATACTCAACATATAATGGTGATCGACTAATGGTGGATTTCAATGAATATTAGTGTCTGTCCAGGACATTCGATAATTCATCTCAGAAATTTTACGTGAGGAGAAAAGACTGAACATATCTGCAGTACAAGTCATATACATAAATGATAAGCTCATAATCATTCTTTGCATCATTAAGATCCACTTTCTCAAACAAAATGGTGGCAATTGAGCACATTAGACGCTTCACTCGTAAATTGCATCATAAGTGATTTATAAAATATTTCACAGATGAAGTCGAAAATTTATGACGAAACCAACCGAAACGGCGGCACGTTTAACCCTAAATCAAAGCGTGTGAAACAAATTATAAGCGATAAAGGACATCACCCAGTGTTTTTTTATCGTTTCTGCTTAATGATCACGTGACATGATTGAATGCTCACTCACCTAAAAAATAATTGAGATTGTCGTCCAAAATGTACCAGCCAGTATGTTCCAAGTTAAAAACTGAGACCAACGTGTTGACCTTGATGTTAACAAAAGAGTTTTCATAGCCAGAGGCGCGCGCGAGGACTAGCGATCACGTGCATCGCATGGGCATCTTACATGTCTTGAAGAACATGTGATGAAGTTCAGAGGTCAACGAAAGCGCAAATTTCTGAGTATTTGGTGAGCTTTCTACCACTAGGTTGGGATGAAGTTCCATAACACCAGGAAAAAATTTAAATTCCACGTTTGATTTACATAGTGTTGCTTATTGTGCGTTCATAGGAATATGTCAGAAAAGAAACGTCCAAGGTAACGCTAATATAGTGTGTTAAAAGGAAAGTCGCGATAGGGACTTGTCGAAAGCGTGCGCTGTCTCAGTAAAACATTGCCAAGCCTCACACCGTGAATTGACTAAGATTTGATCAACTTGGAGGCATTTCAGGTCTTACCGCACACAGCCTACGGTCCAGATGCTGCGCTTCCGATTATGATTAGTGTTTCCGTTCAACGGAGCATTTCTTGCGTGGATGGCGATTCGTGACATTTGATTAAGTTGAAGAGGCATGTCAAGAGCTTTTTAATTCAAAGCCCAGCAAATGGCGATTTCGAGGAAACACGGATGACCGCATATCGTTGGCAAAAATCGCGGATAATGAGGGTCTTTGTGTTGAAGAATAAATCTTGCTCTTTCCCACTGATTTATATATAAGCTTCGGAAAATCTAGCGTTTTTAGTGAATTTTTCGTAGCGTTATGATGTTTCATTTCTTTGTAAGAGAATCGAGTGGTGAGCAAAAATACGGCCTCAGACGAAAGTCGATCATAGAGATGTTGAAGAATGAGTGGTAGCGCGAATGTACCTCTGCGGTGTAGTGGTAGCACGCGTTTCTGTCATGAACGAAACGCGGGTTCGACTCCCGCGTGAGGTGGAATTTTAGCTCGCCACCCAGTTCTCTTAGGAAAAAGTGAGACATCATGACGTTGCAAAAATGCAGTCAAAATACTAGATTTATCGAGTATCATCTTCCACAATGGCTGTCAGCTTAACTGAGTTTATAAAGCAAAATCGCCTACCCGACCAAGCCTGTTTAACGTTGGTGTCTGACAGCTAACGTAGAGGAATTGAAGAATGAGTAGTGGTGCGAATGTATCTCGGTGGTGTAGTGGTAGCACGCGTTTGTGTCATGAACGAAACGCAGGTTCGACTCCGGTCTAAGGTCGTTTTTTTTACTCTTCACTCAATTCGCTTAGGTATATGAGCTTTGAATTTTCTTTTCGGAAGGTGTTAAGAAACTTTTTCTCAACTTAATACTTAATCACTCAACTTCATGATCCTAGGTCGAAATGTATTGTATGGATTTTTAGGTCGTTGCATAAGTTTTGGTAAAAGGGCAATAACCACCAGTTTATTGACCGAAATAATTAAGAATGCATAAATTTGGTTCCCGATACTGCTCCACCATGAAGCAAATATAGTGAACTCCCATAGCTTATGACGATGATACGGTTTAAGAAAGGAGGGCATGGAAGTGGTTTGCGAAATTCAAAGCTGGAGAGAACAGTATGGAGAATTAGTCACGCTTCGACGGTCCAGAAGCTCCCTTAGTCTTGCGCGCTGCCTTAGTAGTATTTTACCCTACGCGTCATTTTTGCATGGTTAGCTAGCTAGTTTGTCCCCAAGACAGTCCCATCTTAAAACAGGTATAGGCAAGTTGTACACCAAATTGTTCATGAGAAAAGGCGCAAATGGATGGTGCAAAAATTACGCAATTTCAAATAGTTCTGACTAATAAATTCACTGCCATTGATCCAGTACCAGAACTTATGGAACGACCTAATAAATATTAAGTGTAGAAGTTTGAATCCGCCACTTCTTTGGCTATGATAATTGTTAAATTAAAAAAAGAATATCTACACGTGAATTCTTCTTTTTCGTAGAAAAAGGTGTCAAAACGCTAATTTATCACATGTTTTTTACATACAAAATATTTTACATAATGGTTTTAAAGGACTGTGCAAGTAACGATTTCTGTACCCGAAAACTGCCATTTTTTGAAATTGCTAACTTGTTACTTGAATTTGGTAATTATAATTGATAATCTAACGGTCTCCACGGATCTCTTTCTTTGAGGAATCCCGCCCGGTTAGTCGCGAGGGCACGTGGCGCTTCCCCAGGTGCTGGACAGGGGAATAAATGCGGACCAAAGAGACCGCGTGCAACTCAGAGACGCAGATGCATTCAGGAAATAAGCTCTCTGATTGTGGAGGGCCGATATGACAAAACTCTATTTCTACGAGGATAGTAGGCCATAAGCCTGCAATCAAGCGGCTGGAAAGTACATGGAAGGCGGTAAGGAGTCGCTTCCAACAAATAAGCTCCTCCCGCTCTTCCGAGAGAGACTGGCAAGCTGCTCGTGAGCACCCAACCCCATATTTAGAACCTAGCAAGCTATACGTGGGGTATCAGTATGCTAGAAACAGCTATAAATATGGGCCTCATTCCCCTGACCCCGAATGAGCCCTGGTACGGCAGTGCCAGGTAGGACGAGTACGGAGAGGCTGCTAAAATCTCAGGACCGAACTAGGCTGCCAAAATGGAAACGGACTAAAATGACGATCTCTACTTACAGTACTCGATTACATGCTGATAAATCCGCTGTAGAATATCTATCGATTTAAGCAAGAAGGATAAGGTACGACGTCATTGGCCTGGCTGAGACAAGAAGGCACCATTTTTTCACGCTGTTTTTAACACCGGAGAAGAACTGCTCTTTGAAACATGCGATAGCAGAGGTGTCGGCGGCGTTGGCATCCTCGTCAAATCGAATTTGACCGTGAACACTGATTTGTTTAAATAACGGACGATTATGGTTGAAACGATGTGTTTCGGTGCTCGCTTGACTACCTTCGTTGCTTAAGCACCAACATCAAGCTATGACGAAGACGAAGTCGAATCGTTCTTCATGGACCTCGAAAAATTCTTCAGAGAAAACCATACCTTCTTCAAGGTCATTCTTGGAGATTATAACGCAGAAACTGGACCTAGGAAAACGCCTGAAGAAAGCTACATTGGGACCCATGGACTACATTAAAATGAACAGGGTGAAAAGTTATCTGAGTTTATCATGACGATCCAAGCAGTTCCCAGAAATATTATTATCCAAGATGTATTCATGTCATTGGTCCACTCCGGGGAAGATACCGTTGTCGATAATATCGACGAAGGATACAAACGGCTCGTTGCATATCTTTACGTTAGCGTTATGAAAGCCGAGAGTCCTAAGGTCACGAAGAGACGCTTGTCTCCGCAGACACTCGAGCTGATACGTCAACGTGGAATCGCACGTGCTACAGGCAACCGAAATCTTACGTCTGACCCTGGGAAACGCTGCAGAGAACCGATAAAAGAAAGCCTCAAAGAGACAAGAGCAACAGTTATGGCAAAACCTGCAGAAGCTGCAGAAGCTGGGAAGAGCATTCGTAGAGCCCAGCGAGGCTTCACAATTGTAAGACCAAGATGATTGCACTCCGATACCTCGACGGGACACTTAGTGCTTCCAAAAGAGCAATAGAGAAGATCATCCACCAGTACTAAACGGATCCATTCGCTATCCATGTCATGTTACCGTCACATAAATTGAACAAGAATGAATCTGTCGTTCCACCGGTCCTCCCTTCCAAAATCCGACGAGCTATATCGTCGATAAAGAACAGGACAATAGCCGGTTCAAAAAAGATTAGACCAGAATACCTGAAGAACCTACCGCCAGTTCTCATCATCACCCTGTTTCGAGTCTTCACTCCTTATGTGCCAGAATGCAAGGTTCTCACTCAATGGAATCAGTAAGACCGCGTTGTTATTCATAAAGGGAGACCTTCACGACATAGACATTTATCGCCCAATCTGCTTGTTTTCCGTTGTCTATAAACTCTTCACTCGAGTCATCCTTAAGAGGTTTGACAGAACACTAGACGAAAGGAAGCCATGCGAACAGGCAGGGTTCCGAAAAGGATTTAGTACTATAGACCACATTGACACGATAGCAAGACTCATTGAAATTTTACGAGAATAAAAAGTACCGCCCTGTCGCACTTTCATTGATCTGAAGGAAGAGTTTGACTCAGTGGAAACGGAAGCGGTTATAGAGGCTGTGGATGACCAGGGCGTTACTCGGTACATAATGGTTCTTCGTGAGCTATGTAAAGATTTCAGGACCAAACTATGTCCTTTTGAACAATATAACCATCGACATAAGAAGGGGGGCTCGACAAGGTGATACGATTTCGCCAAATTTATTCACTGCCACCCTCCAAAATGTCATTCGAACATTCGGAAGCAACGATGTAGGAATTAAATCGGCTGTCGACAATTGAACCACCTTCGCTTCGCTGATGATACCGTCCTCATAACACCAAACATCAGCCAAGCGGAACGATTGTTGACCGATTTCGACAACGCGCGTGGACCAACTAAGTCTGACGAAAACGATGGTAATGAGGAACGGATGGGTTTTGAATGCCCCATTCTCGCTCAACAGTACGTAATCTCCGATAGATCTAGTTACGTCTATCTAGGTCGTAAAATTAATATGATTCTAGAGGAAACAAGCGGCTTAGGAAACTTTTGAGAGCATTGAAAATGTTATGAAGAGGACCAAGAACATCCAACTCCGTGCCCACCTTTCCGACTCAACGATTATCCTTGTCCTAATGTATGCAGCAGAAACCTTGTCGCTCTGTAAGTAGGATGAAAGATCACTTGGCGTTATTGAACGCGCAGTCGAAAAGTCGATGCCAGGAGTATCCCGTATCTCGTAAATGAGAGAAAGGATCCGAAGTTCCGACCTACGTCAAAGACTGAAGTTCAATGACGCCATTCTACACGCGAGGATATCGAAAATAAGGTGGGCTGGACACATGATGCGCTTCAGCGGTAAGCGATGGACGAGAGCTGTTACCGACTGGATTCCTCTGGGTATCAAGCGCTCTACAGGAAATCACCGATCCGATGGTCCGATTGCATAACGAAAAGAGTAGAAGAAAGATATGATGCTCAGCGAATCTCTAGAGTGAGGAGGACCCACTGGGCTACTCTTGCACACGATAGGGAAAAATGGAAGTGTTGCTGGTATCCGCTCGAGTAACTCATCGTCACTACTTAGGTTATATTTATAGCGAGTTGACTCCGAAATTGCAGCGAAGGTCAGCTGTGAACTAGCGACACGGACCCATCTCCGCTACGAAGAATGCAAAAGCACCAAAACTTTTTGACCCAATAGATGCTACGTAGTAGCTTCAGAATATTGACTAATTGTGTCAACTAGTCAAAATTCGACTTTCTATAAACCTCGGCATAATCAATTGATATATGAAACGAGAAAACTTTTCTTGATTAGCTGGCGCGAGGTTGGTAAAGTAGTCGTAGAAATTTGGCTGACGTTCCGGCGACCCGCCTTCTTCAGAGCCTGGGCGTATGTGGTATTAGTCGAGACTAGTCGAAAGTCCTTGGACGCTATTTTGATTTTTCGATTATTTTATGGCTTCACATCCTGTACAATACAAGGATAAAAAATTAAATCTTGGTGTTCATCAATCCCTGAGGGATGCGCCATGCACTCGCCATCAACGATCAACTTTGTATAAGGTGATTGAATGCATATCTGGCCTTTACAGTGACTCGCGGTGGCCTCCCTCAAACCGAGTCAGTGCTGCTTATCCTCCTAAACAAGTCCCCTGGAGGATTGGTTGGCTTGGTGAGCAATGAGCGCATGATCGAAAAATTGACCTCGTGTGCAACGTACAGCAACCTCTATCCACTGCGCTACATGCATGCTCGCAGTTCTCTCTCTCTTAGTTCGCATATGTAAACTATTAAAAAATCGTGGAAATTCACGAAGTCTATGAAGCCAAGCGGGAAGGTGGAGGAGTATAGGAAAGAGACGTGTGGACATGGTCTCGAGTGGCCACTGGTGGTGGCCCTAACTACCTGCATGTGCTCACAGTGAAGTTTCTTCAAGGGGTTCAAACGTGAGGATGTGAAGGACATTACCTTGAAGACATTTTACTGTAAAGTACGTAAAAATGCGAAGTCAGTGGACATGGCCAGCGGCAAAATAGCAACGACGAATAAAATTATAGTAAATTATAAGAGCTTATACGGAGAGCAAATAGTAATAGAGCATAGAAGAAAGTTTGTTCTGTATTTCTTCACAGATCTCAA